CCGACATCGCAAACAGGTCCTTCTGCAGCCATGGTCATCCATCTCACAATCAGGCCACACTTCATTTTTGCTAGCAAACAGCACAGAAGAGAGAAGGGCAATGCCATGAACCCGATGGTTCGAAATCCGCACACCTCAGACGAGATGTCCGGCAGCACGGAACATCACTAGCTGATAGAATACGACGTCTAGCGGGACGGTTTCTCGAAGTAAATTTTAATAGGCATCAGGCTTCGGCCCTTATCGACTGCGCTTCATGCAGCAAAAGCAGTCCATCCATTTTTGCCAGAGCCTTAAGGCAGAATTGAGGTCCAATCAGTTAAGGAGATAAAGTATTTTGGCTAAGCTGCCACTTAAAAGTTAATACACTCTACAAAATAACTTAATCCCTTCTTACGCAGTCCTGCATAAAAATATGCTACTGAGGTAAGCAATGCTAAAGCTACAGTAGTATTTATATCGTTCGCAGGAGCTGCTAATTCTCCATTTGGTAATTGAACTAGTTTAAAAGGGATTAAAGCACCTGACCAATTAGATACAAACATAAAGAGAAACATTGTTCCAATAAAAGGAATCCTGTGTGAAACCTGGCACAGCCGGAACAAGCGAGCAACTTTGAGAGAAACATGTTCACAGTGGGACATAGAGCAATCTTTTGGGCAATCTGGTGGAAAAGGTGCACTACTAGGGAGATGGAAGGCGTCCGCCTCGAGGGTCCGGCTGTCATAGAGACAATCAAACACCAGATCCAGGTAGACCTCATGGTGCAATGGGAAAATATAAAGGAAAAAATAGCCTTTATACACTCAAGAGCAGAAATCGAAATGCAAATCCAATCCTTCTGTGAGGACTGGCTGGGAGGGGAACAAGGAGGTCGGATAGCGAATGTGTAATGGAAACGGGGGGAGGGAGGGGAGGGAGGGAACAGGGAAAATTTTGAAAGGGACTACTACCTCAACTTTCATGATTGGGCTGGAATTGACCACTCCATCCCTTTTTTTTTTTTTAATTAACACAGCCCGGGTGATGCTAGAGGTGCTGGTTTCAACAGTCACCGCTAGCACTCCTGGCAGGCTCCATCTATTGGTGGGGAGCAGCACCTGCTGGAAACCAGGTCCAGCGTCCCTTACATTTGGAAAAACATTCGGGATCATGGGTAAGGGCCTACTCACAGTCTCACACTAGAGGCTATTTTGGCAAAATAACAAAATGGCAAAATTTGCTGTAGTTTTGTAGTCACACTTTGCCCGCCCGCCCATCAAATTTGCAATTGGGGAGACACATGTCGGCAGCCGGCAGGGCCGAGGGGTTGAGCAATTTGCCACCACCTCTAGAGATAGTGGCAAATTTCTTTCTCCCCGTTTCTGTGAGCTCACGGAAGAGAATTGCAGGCATCCATTTGGCTGTGTGACCCCACAAGTGGGCAATTTCGGAAATGGCAGGGCGTCATGGCATTGTCCTTTCCAATTTGCTGCCCCTACGACGCCTACGTGACTGCGAAATACAGCAAAATGGCAAACCGGGAGGGGCAAATGCGGCAGAATTTGCTGTATTGCTAACCGTGTGTAAGTATGCCCTAAGCTGCTGCTTCCTTTAACAAAACACAAGTGGACCTGCCGCAGATACGCGGCGAAGGACGATGACAAAACCATTTTGCGAAACACCCCAGCCATCAGTTGGAGCCCATCTTTGCAATGTACCCCCACCGGACGCTGGCGAACTTTGCAAAACGCGCCGGCAGTTGCCAACTTTTCGTAGGTGCAATTGCAAAAGTTCAAGAGAGTTTGCACTCCCACCTGACAGGGGCACAACACAAACATGTCAGTCCAAAAGGCCATTCCACTGTGTCCATATCTTTCGGGGACATTTTGACATATATCTCAACCTATGGGGGTATTTGGAAAAT